AAATTCTGTCTTTTTTAAAGACAAGAATTTTTTGAGGCGAAATACCCAAAAAGAAGTTTGTAAAATAAAAAAAAATTAAAGAAAATTAGGTTTGTTGATATAACATATACCAAATGACAATCCAATTTGAGTAGGTGCTTGCTCGTTACATGTTTATGTATTCGCGTCCCTATACAAATTTGTGCTCTTACTTATAAATAAACTGCTGTAAAAAAACTTTACATTTTATTACATCGCGAGAGCGTTGCGGTTTAATCCCGCCCGCGGCTTTAATTTTTTCGAACTCATGTGCAACCAAAAAATATTTAAGGTTTACATGAATACTAATAATGTAATTGTAAGTTGGACATCCTTTATTGTCATAAAATATCAATACAGTCAATAACAAAAAATATTCCTTCTTGCTGCAGCGTATCAACATGACTATGACTGTCTTGAAAGTAAGAATGTTTCCAGAACAACATCTTGCTTGCAATAACTTCCAATAAGAGATGAACTATACACTTGTTAGGCATTATTTGCAATTATTGCAAATTCGGCAAACAATGTTGATTCTTTACTGACAATGTTGAATGTTTCTTATCATCAAAGTTTCAAAAAACTGGCAAATAGCAGCTTTAAATTAGTCAATAAAATACTCGTTATGTGTTCTATCTTCCCAGAAGACTTAAAACGACGTTTCGAAAACAATTGGTTTCCCATTCTCATCAAATTGTCTTGGTTTAAGAACTAGTTCCTTTTCCCCGACACTATCGTTCATCAGACATTCCTCACTAGGACTGTTACCGTTTAATATATACAGCATAGAATTTGAAAACTGTTGATCAGATTCTACGTGTGTGTCACAATGATCTTTTAAATAAATTGATTCATTTTTAGGCCCTTCAGTGTACGATTGAAAATCATCTGAACGGCTTGAAAAACTGGAATCAGTAGGACTGTCAAAAGCGACAATATCCCGACTGTTCAAGTAGTGTTTAAAGTTTGTACTCAGCGATTTCGGGCTATCGGTTTTATTTGGTTTGAATTTTTCCTGGGAAGTAATGTTGTCATTTTTCAAAACGCCATCACTTTTTGATTTGAAAAGTCGTCCGCCTCCTGATCTAATTTCATCATTATTCGATTGCGGAGTACTTAGTGTGTTTTCTTTTAACATTTTACTTTCCAATGGTTCATAGACGGGTCGACTAATTGTCTCTTCTTGTAAATGTGGTAATGTAGGGCTTGATTTGGCGAGGTTGTTTATGTTGGTGCCAGATACCAAAAGAACGGGTTTTCTACTGCGAGGGGTCATCATGGTTTCCTAATTAACAAGTCATAATTAATTTTGCATGAAAGGAAGCAAGAACATAAAATGAAAAATATTTCACGACATAGAACGACAAAGCAATTAAAGTAGGAAAATTAACACACAAATGCAGTTTTAGCAGCAAGCAAATAAAACTGAAAATCACAACACGATGAAACAAATGTAAGAATATTTCATTGGCTTACCTGCATAGCTCTCGACATTCTTTGTGCAGACCTAGTAATGGGCGACATGCTCTTTCTACTATGCTCATCTGGAGTGAAAACATCACTTGCTCGACTTAGGAGACAAGCTGGAGTACTAGTCAAATAATTCCCGGGAAGTCCCGGCATTCCTATTTGTGAAGTTTTCAATAGAGCGTTTTGCTATACAGAGTGGTTCCTAATGAATATGTCATAGTCTAACTGAATATTCTAGATACGATTAGTCAAATATTGCTCGGGTATGGTAATACAGGACGTTGTTATTGCTTGATTGCTATTAAGGTAAAAGTATCCGATGAAAAAAGCCGTGTGTTATGGATAAACCAGCCCGTTTTCAGTCAATCATTTAAAGGTTGAACCTTTTTTTAGTGCGGATTGCAGAAAATCCATAAATAAACTTTACGCTTCCCACTCGCCACAGGGGTAATAAAAACTGCAACACTAAAAATCTTTATAATGAAAAGCCGCATCCACATCACTTTACCTTTGTTAAGAATCACAATTATTTAACWRMASRTTYAWTTACTTTTCTCGTCYAKTKACACAAAGWCARAKTTAGTWTACAGGACTMGTCAAAARGYCA